CAACAACACTTGTTGAAGAGACTGTCTTTTTTCCATTAAACATTCTTTCCTGCTTTGTTGAAGATTAGTTGACCATTGAGCTGAAGGCCCATTTCTGGGCTCCCTATTCTGTTCCATTGATCTATGTGTCTGTTTTTGTGCCAGTACCATACTCTCTTGATGATTACAGCTTTGTAATAGAGCTTGAATTCTGGAATTGTGATGCCACAAACCTTGGTTTTCTTTTTCAACATTCCTTTGGATATTTGGGGTCTTTTCTGGCTCCATATAAATTTTAGGATTATTTGTTCCATTTCTTTGGAAAAAATTAATGGTATTTTGATAGGGATTGCATTAAATGTGTAGATTGCTTTAGGTAGCATAGACATTTTCACAATATTTGTTCTTCCAATCCATGAGCATGGAACATTTTTCCATTTCTTTGTGTCTTCCTCAATTTCTTTCCTGAGTACTTTATAGTTTTCTGAGTACAGATTCTTTGCCTCTTTGGTTAGGTTTATTCCTAGGTATCTTATGGTTTTGGGTGCAATTATAAATGGGAACAACTCCATAATTTCTTTCTTCTGTCTTGTTATTGGTGTATAGAAATGCAACTGATTTCTGTGCACTGATTTTATATCCTGATACATTACTGAATTCCTGTATGAGTTCTAGCAGTTTTGGAGTGGAGTCTTTTGGGTTTTCCACATAAAGTATCATATCCTCTGCAAAGAGTGAGAGTTTAACTTCTTTGCTAATTCAGATTCCTTTTTATTTCTTTTTGCTGTCTGATTGCTGAGGCTACAACTTCTAGTACTATGTTGAATAGCAGTGGTGATAGTGGACATCCCTGCCATGTTACTGACCTTAGGGGAAAAGCTCTCAGTTTTTCTCCATTGAGAATGATGTTCACTGTGGGTTTTTCATAGGTGGTTTTGATGATATTGAGGTATGTACTTTCTATCCCTACACTGGGAAGAGTTTTGTTCAAGAAAGGATGCTGTACTTTGTCAAATGCTTTTTCAGCATCTATTGAGAGTATCATATGTTTCTTGTTCTTTCACTTATTAATGTACTGTATCACATTGATTTGTGGATGTTGAACCAACCTTGCAGCCCAGGAATAAATCCCATTTGGTCATGGTGAATAATCCTTTTAATGTACTGTTGGATCCTATTGGCTAGTGTTTTTGTAAGAGTATACCAAAAATAAGGTTAAATACAATGAAGGGATAAAATAGCACTATAACAATGAACATTTTAAAAGATTTTTTTAAAGGTATCAATAAGATAAAATTTAAAAATGCTAAAATAAGAAAGAGGAAATAAGAATTTTAGAATAAATTTATAGGGGCGCCCGGGTGGCTGAGTGGGTTAAAGCCTCTGCCTTCTTTTAAAAAAATTTTAGAATAAATTTATAAATTTATAAAAATATTTATAGGCTATTTTTAAATTTAAAGTTTTAAATTAAAATTTTAATTAAGATTAAATTTTTTAAAACATTTTTTAAATTTATTTTCAGCATAACAGTATTCATTGTTTTTGTACCACACCCAGTGCTCTATACAATCCATGCCCTCTCTAATACCCACCACCTGGTTCCCCCAACCTCCCACCTGCCCACCTCTTCAAACCCTTCAGATTGTTTTTCAGAGTCCATAGTCTCTCATTGTTCACCTCCCCTTCCAATTTCCCCCAACTCCCTTCTCCTAACTCCCCATGTCCTCCATGCTATTTGTTATGCTCCACAAATAAGTGAAACCATATGATAATTGACTCTCTCTGCTTGACTTATTTCACTCAGCATAATCTCTTCCAGTCCCATCCATGTTGCTACAAAAGTTGCGTATTCATCCTTTCTGATGGAGGCATAATACTCCATAGTGTATATGGACCACATCTTCCTTATCCATTCATCCGTTGATGGGCATCTTTGTTCTTTCCACAGTTTGGCGACCGTGGCCATTGCTGCTATAAACACTGGGGTACAGATGGCCCTTCTTTTCACTACATCTGTATCTTTGGGGTCAATACCCAGTAGTACAATTGCAGGGTCATAGAGAAGTTCTATTTTTAATTTCTTGAGGAATCTCCACACTGTTCTCCAAAGAGGCTGCACCAACTTGCATTCCCACCAACAGGGCAACAGTTGCCCTTTCTCCACATCCTCTCCAACACATGTTGTTTCCTGTCTTGCTAATTTTGGCCATTCTAACTGGTGTAAGGTGGTATCTCAATGTGGTTTTAATTTGAATCTCCCTGATGGCTAGTGATGATGAACATTTTTTCATGTGTCTGTTGGCCATTTGTATGTCTTCATTGGAGAAGTGTCTGTTCATATCTTCTGCCCATTTTTTGATATGATTATCTGTTTTGTGTGTGTTGAGTTTGAGAAGTTCTTTATAGATCCTGGATATCAACCTTTTGTCTGTACTGTCATTTGCAAATATCTTCTCCCATTCCGTGGGTTGCCTCTTTGTTTTCTTGACTGTTTCCTTTGCTGTGCAGAAGCTTTTGATTTCTCATGAAATTGAAGACACAAAACGATGGAAGACCATTCCATGCTCTTGGATCGGAAGAATAAACATTGTTAAAATGTCTATACTGCCTAGAGCAATCTATACTTTTAATGCCATTCCAATCAAAATTCCACCAGTATTCTTCAAAGAGCTGGAACAAATAATCAAAAAATTTGTATGGAACCAGAAGAGACCCCGAATTGCTAAGGAAATGTTGAAAAACAAAAATAAAACTGGGGGCATCACGTTACCTGATTTCAAGCTTTACTACAAAGCTGTGATCCCCAAGACAGCATGGTACTGGCATAAAAACAGACACATAGACCAGTGGAACAGAGTAGAGAGCCCAGATATGGACCCTCAACTCTATGGTCAGTTAATCTTCAACAAGACAGGAAAAAATATACAGTGGAAAAAAGACGGTCTCTTCAATAAATGGTGCTGGGAAAACTGGGCAGCTATATGTAGAAGAATGAAACTCGACCATTGTCTTACACCGTACACAAAGATAAACTCAAAATGGATAAAAGACCTCAATGTGAGACAGGAATCCATCAGAATCCTAGAGGAGAACATAGGCAGTAACCTCTTCGATGTCAGCCACAGCAACTTCTTTCAAGATATGTCTCCAAAGGCAAAGGAAACCAAAGCCAAAATAAACTTTTGGGACTTCATCAAAAAGATTAAATTTTTAATTAAATTTTTAGTTTTATTTTAAATTTTTTTAATTATAAAATTTATAAACAGAATAAGAGGGGCTCCTGGGTGGCTCAATGGATTAAAGCCTCTGCCTTCAGCTCAGGTTATGATCCCAGGGTCCTGGGATCAAGCCCCACATCGGGCTCCCTGCTCTACAGGAAGCCTGCTTCCTCCTCTCTCTTGTCTGCTTCTCTGACTACTTGTGATCTCTGTCAAATAAATAAATAAATAAATAAATCTTTATAAGTAGAATAAGAAATAAGAGTAAGAAAAAAATTTTAAAAATTTAATTTTGAAAGACTATAGGATCATGGCGGGGAAAGCCATGAATTCTATGTGTTGCTTTCCCTAGCTCTGAAGTTCTGAGGTTCTCATTGATCTGTGAACTTGGTCTTGGCTGGGCATTCTTGCTGATCTTCTGGGGGAGGAGCCTAGTGCCATGATTTCCAAATGTCTTTGCCTGAGGTGGAACTGCACCGCCCTAGCTAGGGGCCAGGCTGAGCGATCTGCTCAACTGCTCGGGTTTGTGCTCAGGAGCTTTTGTTCCCTGAATGCTTTCTGTAGAGCTCTGGAGGATGGGAATGAAGATGGCGGTCTGGAGGAGCTGAGAGCTCAGGGCCCCACTCCTCAGTGCACCCTCAGAGAAAAGCTGTCAGTCCCTCCCAGCTCCCTGGTCTCTGGCCGCGCTCCAAGCTCACCCGTCCTGTGACTGAGCATTTCTGTCTCTGGTACGTGGCCCCATTTGGAGTCTCCAAACCCAGCAGATTCCTGCCACACACTCTGCACTGCTCCAGAGGAGGAAGGAAGGGGTCTCCCTGGATCTGCCACATGTGGGGTCCCTGCTTAAAGAGCAGTGGCTCAACTGTCCCTTGGATCACGGTTTAAGGTAACCCCGAGCTAAGAGCCTCTCCTCGGCTCCATCTCTGCAGTGGCTTCCCTGCTCTGATACCTAGGGGATTTGCCACACTCAGGCACCCCTGGTCTTTCTGTGACCTCACAGGACCTGAGACCACACTGTTCCTGTGAGGGCTCCACCCTACCCCCACTTAGCCTCTGGAGTGATGTCCTCAGTGGAGCAGACTTGTACAAGTTCCGATTTTGTGCTCTGATGCTCCACAGCTTGCCGGGAGCTGGCCCCTCCCCCGCGGTCTATCTTCAGTCACTTCAGATTCACTTCTCTGTATGTTGTACCTTCTGGAAAGTGGTTGATTTTCTGTTCATAGAATTGCTGCTCTTCTCTTCAATCTCCTGTTGGCTTTGTAGGTGTTCAGAATGGTTTGGTAACTATCTAGCTGGACTTATGCGACTTGATGTCATCTCAGTCTCCTACTCCTCCACTATCTTGCTTCTCCTCTGAGATGTTGTCAACTGAAGACTGTTCTGTAATCAAGGTCCATAAACATTCTAAAATGACAACATGTCAGGTTGTTCTAGAGAGCCAAAGTGGGAAGATTTCATTAGCTCATTTGTATACCTAATTTACGAAAAACATATGATCTGCTAGGTCCAGGAGATGGATCTGTGAGGACTCACTATCTACCCTCAGATTTGCACACTCTCAAAAGGGTCCCAGACTCCCAAAATAGGAATCACTGTGTCAAGGCAAAAACTAAGGGAGTCATGAGTGAATTTTTCCTCTTCAGGGGAGTTGGTTTCCAAAGAAGCAGGCTGGGCAGTGAGAATTGCCAAGTTCCTGGCACAGAGGCAACCACTGTTCTAGATAGGAGTACCCATTCATGGTCTCTTCTTTCTTCGTTGATTCTTCTTTAATGCCTGAAGCTCAGATATCTCATGCAGGACGAGATGGAACCTTCTGCACAGCTGGGTTTCAGCCTGCAGCCCCTCTTGGAGCAGCTCAGCCAGGATGAGCTGAGCCAGTTCAAATCTCTGTTGAGGTCCCTTTCCCCGCAAGAGGAGTTACAGCACATCCCTGTGACAGAGGTAGAGGAAGCTGATGGGAAGCAACTGGCAGAAATTCTCACCAACCGCTGCCCCAGCCACTGGGTAGAGATGGTGACCATCCAGGTCTTTGACAAGATGAACCAAACAGATCTGTCTGAGAGAGCAAAGGATGAGCTCATGGGTAAGTAGAAACTAACCCCCAAGGTGTCCCAGGAGGAAGGAGGAATAGCCTCCAGAGTTTTACATGTGTAGGAATAACACTGAGCCTTGGAGAGGCCACCTGTCCTGAACCCAAGTGCTAGACTTTCCTAAAGTCTGGTGGTATCTCTCATTCTAGCTATTTCTACTCTACCCCGGGATTGTATACCTTCCGTGGCCACCTCAGTCTGTATCCCTTCTCTCATCCAAGACTGTTCCTTGAGTATATCCGGATCCCATTCTCTCACACATCCAAGGTGTTAAATTATTACACACCCTCTGGTTTTCAGCTCCCACTCACGTTTCCTTCCGCACACTCACAGAGGCAAACCCCTACCTTCCCTTCGATCAGCATCACTAACAGCATCTGGGGCTGGGTGAGGAGACCTCCTTTGTATTGCACAATATTTAGCTGTACCCTTGGGACCCCAGTGCTAGCGTCCCAGCACCTCTACCCGTTAGATGCTAGCAGCACACACCTCTCACTTGAAACAACCAAAGATGTCTCTAGACACCGCCCAGTGTCCCCTAAGTGGAGCACTGAGTTTTAGGTCAGCGGTTGTCAGCTTTCACTCTTTTGGGCAGTCCTCTCAGGAGTTTCAATATGCTGATGGGCAGTCCTCTCAGGAGCTTCAGTATGCTGATGTCCAGAACCAATCACCAGAGACTTTGAGCTAAATGATCTGTGTCTCCCCCCAGATGTGGATTTCTTGAAAGCTTACAATCCGAGGGTTTTGAAGGGGTGGGGAGGTGGGAGGTTGGGGGAACCAGGTGGTGGGTATTAGAGAGGGCACGGATTGCATGGAGCACTGGGTGTGGTGCAAAAACAATGAATACTGTTACGCTGAAAAGAAATTAAAAAAAAATTGTGAAAGTCAGTTGTACCTCTTTAAACCTTTCATTATGTGGCTACTAGAAAATACAAAGTTACATAAGTGAGAGGTGTTATATTTGTTTTGGAGAGCACGCTGCTCTAGAGAATATTTTCTCTCTTGTTCTTCAGCAAGGGTATTCAAAGGCTCTTCCTTACCTACCATTTTCTTTTTCCTTAAAAATGGCCTGTTTTATTCCATCTAGAGATCTGTTTTTAGCTTACTGTTCCTGGTCTTCAATGGACAGGGGAGGGCTTTCACTCCCAGCTGGCCTCTGGAGATTATAAATTTGGAAATAGCATGAAGAAACCCCAAGCTGAGCAGCTAAAAGGGTCTGGCTCTGAAAAGTGTGGGTTTTCCCACCTCCTCCTCTCCCAGAAGCAGCTGTGGAGTCTCTCGGAACAAGCCTCCAGCATTAGATAAGCTACCTCATTTACTTCTTATGTGAGACTTTGGAATTCAGGGGCGTGTTTTAATTATACAAGACATGGTGCTGAGCACTAAGAATTCAAGGAAAGCCAAGCCCTTCTCTCTGTAGCCATCCCAGTGGCTGAGGAGGGAGACCAGGGGAGCTCCATGAGCCGGTATTTATACCACAAGTTAGTAAATGCACACAGAAGCAGGAAGGCAAGAGCTTTCCTTGGAATCTGGACAGGCTGGATTTTAGCATGACCTACAGCAAGGGCTGGCCAACCAGACTCCCAGACCAGGTCCAGCCTGCCATGTACTTTTGACCTTCCCAAAATCTAAGAACTGTTCTTGTATTTTTAAATGGTTGGGAGGATCAAAAGACTGCCTTACAGCCTATGAAAATCATAGGAAACTCAAACTTCAGTATTCATAAATGAAGTTTTCTTTGCATGTGGCATGCTTATTTGCTCATATGTTACCTATGACAGCTTTTGCCCTACAAGGTCAGATGAGTGGTGTGGCCTGAAAAGCAGGAAATATTTACTGTCTGGCCCTTTGCAGGAACTAGAAAATTAAGTTTGCTAACCCCAGCCAAAAGGATTTTTGAGTTAGTGATTATGAACTTTCTCCCTTCTCCATATCCCAAATCACCAGTATCCTTAGTGATAAGACTTGGGCTCAAGGCAATAGTAAATGGGAGTGTGGTTTGAAGAACAAAGGCACAACCATTGATAATCTCAACCTAGATGTCCTGACTTCTTCTATCAATACACAAGTGCCAAAGGGTTCTACAATGATGACCTAACCAAATGTCAGAAGGAGACTGGTGGTCCATCAGATCTTACACTTGGCAATACTGCCAAATAGGTATTCATTCCAGTAAGTGTTCAGACTAAAAGCATGGAGAATTCTTTATTCAGAATCCTGCTCTTGGCTTTTATGACCTTGTTGCCTTTGCTCTGTGGCTTGTTGAGGATTATTTTTTTTCTTCCGTTCTTTCAGAATTCTTGTTCTTCTGCCTCATCTTCAAAAGGAATGACTGGCTGGCCATTTTTTCACTCAGCATCCTGGTCCTGGTTGATATCCCTTGGAATCTTACTGGTTATTTATGTCCTGATGACTTTGCAAAGGCTATCTTTACACCAGCATTTCCCCTGAACTTTAGATGCCTGCAGCCAACTGCCTCCTGGGAATCTCTTCAGAACTCTCCCAGACTCTCCACTTCTTTATCCAGTGTCGAGCTTATAGTACTCCCTCTCCCATCAGGACTCCACCGTCTTCCTACATCCCCTCCCAGGACAGTTTGGTTTTATCTAACTGATCAGAAACCAGAGCGTTAATCCATGAAAGCTTTGTGATGGCCTCAAGACAGAGCAAGGGTGCACACGTGTTCATTTCTCTCACTGCATGAACTTGACTGGAGCCTTCTGGGACAAATCCACCATGATGAGCACTCTAGGACACGCAGCCTTCTTGAACACCACCCCCACCACAGTCACAGTCTTTCCTTTTGTTTAACTACACCCCTGCATATACCCTCAGGGCATAAGGTCCTTGACCTGCTCTGGAGCTAGGACTGTGGTGCACACCCATTCTTACTCTCCCCTGGGTAGACCCCCACTAGCACTCCCAGCCTCTAGGGCTATGGAAGCAGGGTCATGGAGATCAGCTGGTCTTGCAGCTACAGAATACATACTTCTGTCCCCTTATTGAACAATTTCTTGGGGCCACCTGCGTGGCTCAGATAAGTGTCTTCCTTCAGCTCAGGGTCCTGGAATAGAGCACCATGTCAGGCTTTGTACTCAGTGGGGAGTTTGTCTCTCCCTTTCCCTCTGCCTGCTGCTCCTCTACTTGTGCTCTTTATCAAATAAATAAAATCTTTAAATAACCATTTGTTGTCAGGCTGGACTGGTCAGCCTTTTTCTTCAGTCTTACGGCTCCTTGGGTCTTTGGAGATGGTTACGCATACAACGCCCTCCCATGAGACAGTCACTGTGTGTTCTCAACCACATAGGAAGCCAGAAAAGGCACGTAAGCCCAAGATTGTGGCCTGACACACTTCAATCTTCTCTCCCATAGCATGTTAAGGTCCTTTTTATGTCATCCAGGTTTATGTAGGAGATGCAGTTGTCAAACATAAGTCTTCTTGAAGTCCCACCCTCTCCCCAGGCAGAAGTCTCAATAGAGAAGCCTATAATGGCCCCTCTTTTCTCAGGGTTCACCAGGACTTCAGAACCAAAATGTGCAAACTTGGAAGAAACCCAACAGTGTGCAAAAGGAAAGGAGCCGGGTTGGTCAGTGTTGGAGCGAGCCAAGCCACAACTACCGCATCCTGTTCTGTCCTCTGCACCCTCCTTTTGTGAGCTCCATCTCCCCAAACCTCCTTTCCTCCATGGTTTATAATCCCCAATAGTCTCACAGAAAATGCCTTCCTCCCTCACTTAGGAACAAAGCAGGAAAAGGACCCTTGGAAAGAACTGAATTTCTTCAGTTCACAGAAAATTAGTGTACTGTATGGAGTTTCTCTTCAATTTTTCAATTTCAGTTGCTCAGACTTTAGGAAACTCAACTCCCAGATGAGAAAGTTGAGATGTGCTATATATACATCCAGCACTCTGGTCCCTTAACATCACTGAGTGGCTAAAGTCAGCTGGGTAGTATTGTTTGTTAATGGCTCTGGTAAAGTACAATCTGTGTATCCATAAATTTCATTCAAATTAAATGTGCTACTACTAACTTTCAGTAAACCTACAGAATTTCCCAACCATCACCACTATCCAATTTTACAACATGGACATCACCCCCAGAAAGTTCCCTTGTGTCCACACGTGGTCACTCCCTAGTCTCTGTCCGCCAGCTCCGGGCAACCATTATGTTATTGTGTCTCTCTAGATTTGGCTTTTCTGGACACATGGTCTTTCCTGTCTGTCTTTCATCACTTACCATAATGTTTTTGAGGTTTGTCCCCATTGTTGAGTATGTCACTGACTTGCCATCCCTTTTCATTACAGAATGATACTCCATGGTGTGGCTATGCCACACTTGATTGTCCATTCGTTGGTGGATGGATGGATATCTGGATTTTTTCTACTTTCTGGCTGCCTTGCATCACGCTGCTATGAACCTTGGTGGGCTAGTCTTGACATACGCGCATTTTCACTTACCTTGGGCAGATTCTCAGGAACCGTCTGGCATTCTACACCGGCATGACATCATTGCTTACTCAGACAATGGAGCAGCTGTACTGGGTTGGGCTGTATGGAGGTCTGTCTCCTGATGCCCTGCTGTGTGGTCTAGACCAGCGGGAAAGATGCACGAGTAGCTTCAATGGATTGCATTGAGTTTTGACGGAGCAACTCGAAAAAATAATTTTTGTTATGGGTCTAGAGAGGACAGGCAGGAAACTTGGTTTAGAAGGTCATTTGCTCTGTTCCTCTCTATAAACCTGGCCTTTGCACCTCCCAGCACATGATATGGACAGAGATTCGATTCTGCGCTCCTTGGATCCGCTTTAACACTGTATTTCTGGTAAAAGAAATTCATGTGTCTTTGTGTCGAGCTCATTTTTAATTTGTATTTTGCAGCACTTACTCAAGTACAGGGAGAAGATGTCCCAAACCCAGAAGCGGCAAAGGAAGTTTTGGAAGGAGAAAAGCCAGGTCTGTATCCTGTCTTCCTGGACGAGCCTGGTGTCAGGCCGTTCTTTTTTGTCTTTTTCCTACCTAACACAAAGTATCCTTTTTTTCCTAATGAATAACCAGCTATGTCCTTCCTATCCCCTACCTCCAATCACTAAAGGTAAACAGGATAAATACAGAAGCGTTTTGAAAGAGAAGGTCCAGCAAATCTGGAAGAACTTTTGGCCTGGAGCCAGTGAGAACATTCACACGGTCACCCAAAGATACGAGACACAGATTCCATTCTGTAATCCTAAAATGCTCGGAGGTCCATTCCCGCACACGGTGGTGCTGCACGGTCCGGCGGGCGTGGGGAAGACCACTCTGGCCAAGAAGTGCACGCTGGACTGGACGCAGGACAGCCTCGCGCAGACCCGCCGCGTTGCCTTCTATCTCAGCGGCAAGGTGCTCAGCCGCAAGGGGACTTGCTCCTTCGCAGAGCTGCTGGCCGAGAGCGCCCCAGACCCGCAGCGCGCCCTTCCGCAGGTCCTGGCCCAGGCGCACAAGCTCCTGCTGGTCATTGACGCTTTCGAGGAGCTGCGCGGGCCCTGGTGCACGGGCGCGCTGGAGCACGACCTGGGGGGCGACTGGAGGACGCGGAGGCCTGCGCCGGTCCTCCTGGGCAGCCTGCTGAAGAGAAAGCTCTTCCCCACGGCCACCCTGCTGGTCACCACGCGGCCCGAGGCCCTGAGGGAACTGCGGCTCCTGGTGCAGCAGCCGCTCTTGGTGGAGATGGAGGGGCTCTCCGAGCGCGACAGGAGGGCGTATTTCCTGCGACACTTGGGAGAGGAGGCTCAGGCGCTGCGCGCTTTCCAGCTGATGAGAAGCAACTCGGCGCTGTTCCGCATGGGCGCGGCGCCCGCCGTGTGCTGGATGGCGTGCACCTGCCTGAGGCTGCAGATGGCCGAGGGCGCGGACCCCCGGCCCACCTGCCAGACCGCCACGTCGCTGCTGCTGCACTTCCTCTGCAGCCGGTTTGCGCCTGCGCGGGGCCAAGGCCCGGGTCCGCACCTCGCGGCTGCCCTGCAAGCCCTGTGCCTGCTGGCCGCCGAGGGCACGTGGGCGCAGACCTCGGCGTTCGATGGACTCGACCTGCGCAGGCTGGGCGTGCACGAGTCTGACCTGCGCCCTTTCCTGGACCGGGGCATCCTCCAGAAGGACAGAGACACTGGGGGCTGCTACCGCTTCGTCCACCTGAGCATCCAGCACTTCCTGGCTGCTGCGCTCTGCGTCCTGGGGAGCGAGGGCCACCAAGATGCAGGAAACCCCGTCTGGCACGCTGGGGGTGTGCAGAGGCTGCTCTCCAAGGAAGAAGGCTTCAAGAATCCCCACCTGGCCCCCGTGGGGCGCTTCCTGTTTGGCCTCGCCAATGAAAAGAGGGCCAGGAAGCTGGCGACCACCTTTGGCTGCCCAGTGTCCACTGAGTTCAAGCGGGAGCTACTGGAATGCACAGTGCGGTCCCCTGAACACAGACCCTTCTCCTCGGTGACAGACACGAAGGAGACCTTGTATTGTCTCTACGAATCCCAGGAGGAGCAGCTTGTGAAGGAGGCCATGGCCCAGGTCACGGAAGTGTCCCTGCATTTGGAAGATACCTCAGACCTGGTGCACGCATCGTTCTGCCTCAAGCATTGTGACCGCTTGCAGAAAATGTGGCTGCGGGTGGCAAAGGGGACGTTCCTGGAGAACGATACCGCATGGGGATCAGAGGCTCAGGCTGACCGGTAAGGACCTGCCCTGTTCACCCTGGTAGTACCCGGGTTTCTGCCTCATGCCCCACTCCAGTAGCAGCAGGGCAGAGTGTCCTCCCTGTGGCTTAGGGTCAGAATTTTCTTCTTACCAGAACTTCTTCTGCCAGCTTGCCCTTCAAGGTGCGGAGTACGGTGCTCAGATTAAGGATGGGGACTTTGAACCAGACCTTGTTTTGAGACCTGTGTCCTTTTGTCTCCAGCTGAGCAATGTTTGCACATGGCTCGACCTCACTTCAGCCCTCATGTTGGTTGTCTAGGTTGCCCCTCTGTATGGGGTTGTCCTGTTTAGCATGACAGATGGAAAGGCATTAAAGGTGGACAGTCAGAGGCTGATTCAACGAGGTTCTGAAAGCTTCCCCCCATCCACGATCATGGGCACGTCACCTAACGCAACTGACACAATGAGATGACCCCAGGCAGTCATGAGATGTTGTTATTCTTGATGCAGCCTCAGGTAACATCAGCTGAGCTCTTACGGCATTTCCAAACACGATTTATCCCCTGGTGGCTACTTGCAATCTTTCCTGTTGAGGTGAAGATCCTGGTTTCATTAAAGGTTGTTTGAGTGGGATTAGAACTCCAGTCTGCTGGTTTATGAAGTGCCCCTCCCCCATCACAATCCAAGCTCACTGCTCATGGTCCTGTGTAGGGCCCACCGGACACATACTGATACTTACCTTATCAGCCTGCCTCTTTCTCAACCCTAGGTTGTCTTCAGAAATGCAGTATCTGAAATCCTCATGCATATTCACAGGGCCAGAATCAAATGCCCCCCCTTACTTTCCCTTACTTTCCTGGTGGAGGCGTCTGTTTTACACATCCCCTTCACTTGCCCTCCCACTCCTTCCCCATGTAGCAGAGAGTCGTGAACTCGAGTCACCTCAGGGAGCGTCAGGACCCTGACGGCTGGGCTGGAACATTTCTCCACCCCGAAGATCACCGGCACTCACAGACCCCATTGGTTAAGTTCTTTATTGTAATTCCAGTCCAGCTAACATACAGTGTCATACTAGTTACCCCGATACAATATAGTGACTCAGCAGGTCTGCACAACACTCGGTGCTCATCGTGATGACTGTACTCTCAATCGCCATCACCCGTTTTACACATCTCCTACCACCCTCCCTGCTGGTAACCATCAGTTTGCTCTTTTTAGTGGAGAGTCTGTTTTCACTTTGTGTCTTCCTCTTCTTCCCCCCCACCACTGCCCATTCGTTCTGTTTCTTAAATTCCACAGATGAGTGAAATCCTGTGATATTTGTCCTTCTCTGACTGGCACAGGTGGCTTCCTGTTACACACTGTAGCCGCAGTCATGTCTTGGCAGAAGGTAGGCTTTCATTCTTTTTAATGCCCGAGTAATATTCCATTGATTATATATACTACATCTTTATCCATCAGAGGTCACTTGGGCAGCTTCTCTAACTTGGCTTTTGGAGATAATGCTGCGATAAACATAGAGATGCGTGCATTCCTTTGAACTGGTGTTTCCCTTCGTCTGTGTCCTGACTTTGTTTCTTCTCTCATCCAAGTGTTTATACAGGCCTACATGCTGGTTTACCTAACTCTTTCTTCTGCAGGAGGGTCATCAAAGAGCTGCTTTGAATGCAAATGAGATTGCATGAATAGCCTCCTATCTCATCCAAGATCCCAAGTCAAAATAGTATTTATTTTTTTTATTATGTTATGTTAGTCACCATACAGTATGTCATTAGTTTTTGATGTAACATTCCATGATTCATTGTTTGTGTATAACACCCAGTGCTCCATGCAATCCATGCCCTCCTTAATACCCACCACCAGGCTCACCCAGCCACCCCCCTCCCCTCTGAAACCCTCAGAGTCCATAGTCTCTCATGATATGTCTCCCCTTCTGATTCTCACCCCCTATTTCATATCTCCCTTCCTTCTCCTAATGTCCTCTGTGTTATTCCTTATGCTCCACAAGTAAGTGAAACCATATGACAATTGACTCTCTCTGCTTGACTTATTTAACTCAGCATAATCTCTTCCAGTCCCGTCCATGTTGATACAAAAGTTGGGTATTCATCTTTTCCAATGGCTGAGTGATAGTCCATTGTATATATGGACCACACCTTCTTTACCCATTCATCTGTTGAAGGGCATCTTGGCTCTTCCACAGTTTGGCTATTGTGGACATTGCTGCTATGAAGATTAGAGTACATACGGCCCTTCTTTTCACATATATATCTTTGGGATAAATACCCAGTAGTATAATTGCTGGGTCACAGGGTAGCTCTATTTTTAATTTTTGAGGACCCTCTTTTTTCTTCTTAACCTTGGTTTAGTTAAAACCAACAATAGAGCCAACATGAACACTGCAGGTAATTAACCACAGCTGGACTACTTGGATCTTGGAGCCCCCATCTGAGAAGAAGGCAATGGATGTCTTTAGGTGTGATTACAATCATTCTGATCTGAAACGCAAACGGATGCTTTCCATGAACGTTCTTTTCAGGTGCCTTTTGCCACTTTCCCTTCTGTCCTGCTCATCACAGCAGGTCCATAGCATTGCTGGTCTGTAACTCTGGGGCGCTTAAATCACAGGCTGCCTTCAGTCAGACCACTTCCTCCAGTAGCACAGTGGGAACGAGCCCATGTTCTACACAACAGCTTGATTATCTTCCCTTGATAAGACCATTGCACTAACCCTACACAGCCTCAGATGTCTTTCCCCAGAGCACATAGACCATGCTCTTTGAAAGTCACAAACTAGGTTTCTAAAGGCTTGTCCTCCTCATATTGCTTCAAGTTCTGCAATGAGGACATTAATTTTAAATATATCTTTCATCGAGGCAAGCACCACTAATAAAACCAAAGGTAAAACCTCAACCTAAAGCAGCCAGGCATGCTAAAGCTGACAGAACCTAAGTTCTATCTGGCTTCTTTCTTCCCCTATTTCAAACCACAAAATGTCTACTTTGTGTAGGACTTGCTATTCCATCAAGTCTACTAATGGAGCTTCTTGCCTTTAGAAACCGCTTATTTCTTCTCTAAGCTCTTTTGAATCTTAGGAAGATACTCATGTTGACTCAAATTTACTCTCCCATTAGTGCCTTTGGAAGGGTATCCCCCAAAACACGGTCTTGTGTAGCCTTGCCCTTCTCTAGGAAAAAGGACAATTGTCCTTCAGAAGATAGGGTGACATGAGTGACCAGCCTCACCAGGCTTGAGGGAGAGTGGAAAATAAGAGGTTAATTATTCAGATAAATGTTTATGCCCTGGAAACCGGCCACCTTGATTTGAAAGCAGCCAAGCCCAGTTATAGGCTGAGGAATGGAAGATGGTAGGAGGCAATGAAGGTGCTGGGTCTTACTGTTTGACTTTGAGCTCTGTCTCTTACGGCTCTGTTACTGTGATGATGTGGGGCGAGTTAGATGCTTTCTGGGCTTCCTTTCTGTTATCTTCAGGTAAGCACTGGACCTACTTCAAAGTAGTATTTTTAAATTACTAATTCTAAAATTACTCAAGGTTCCTAGCATATAGGAGTTTAAATTCCAGCTTCAACTTTCATTTACACTTTTCTCTGTTAGTATACTTATGTGCTGGTTACTCTTATTCCTTACACACTCATACCTTCAATTTTCTCCACAAAAACCTCCAAATATTCGATTACTCTTAGGTCCCATAGTATTTCCCCATCAATAACTAAAACGTTTCAACTTTCTGACACATCATGGCTTCAAGTGTTTGTACTGTTTTCCTGAAAATCAATATTTTTCTGATTGCAAAGATCCCATACATTAATGGAAAATTAAAGCAATACTGAAGAGGATAAAGAAATCATATCACTTACACCAACCCTACGCCCAGAAGCAACCACAGAACAAAATAAACATTCTCTTAAGTCTGTGATTACATCTTCTCAAGTTTTTATGGACATTTTAGGTTACAAATACAGTTGTAAGTTAGATTGAGAATATCATGCATATGGATACACCATCTGACATTCAGATCTCTGACACACCTATTGCTCTCTTTTTAATCAATGGTGTATATTGTTTTTAATTTTGTATCAATGATCTTAGACTTTTGGTTTATTCTAAACCTCTGTTAGATTATTGTGCAAGAAGTTTGAGCTCTGGGTAAAGTGGCTCAGTCAGTTAAGCATCTGACTTCAGCTCAGGTCATGATCTTGGGGTCCTGGGATGGAGCAAGAGTCAGGCTACATCCAAGAAGTCTGTCCCTCTCCCTACCCCCCACCCCTACCCCCCACCCCCACTCCTGCTTGTTCACTCACACTCTCTCAAATAAAAAATCTCAAAAAAAAAAAAAAAAGGCAAGCAAGCTTGAGTTCTTTCTCCAGTGACCTGTCTCAGGTGATGACTTGTCTGACAGTGATGCTAAGTGATTCAACCATCTGACTTTAGAGCTCTGCCTGTTTATTGGGGTATATACCGGGAGCAGCCCTCCCTAAATAGCTTCACAACGAGGGACCGGTGGTCGTTTTCTCTCCGGCAGCATTCGGTAAATTCCCTCCTTTGCCTCTTCCCAACAGGTTCCGGAATGATCAGTATGTGCTTCCTTTCTGGATGGATCTTCTTTCTGTGTTTGACTCAAACAAGAGTCTGGTGTTTCTAGACATCAGTCAGAGCTTCCTCAGTACCTCATCCGTGAAGCTGCTTTGTGAAAAAATAGACTCCGCTCCCCATAATCTTCAGAAAGTGGTGTAAGTAGACGCTAACCCCAGATTAAAACCCCTAGGGCATAACCAGGTTCCTTGTATTTTTCACATTGGAGTAATATTTGAATCCCTTTCCCAAAGTCCAACTGGGTACTCAAGACATGAGGAATTGAGACCGTCCATACCTTATACTTGTCTACTGAATCGTATGAAGTAACTTTTTCCAATTTTTTTATTGTGGTATAACATAAAACTTATCATCTTAACCATTCTCGAGTTCACTGTGATGGATTTTTAAATGTGTAATTATGCGACAACCACCACCATTCATCTCCAGGATGCTTCATCTTGCAAAACTGAAACTCTGTCCCCCGTTAAACAATAATTCCCCATGGTCCCTTCTCCCCAGCCCCAGGTGATTTTAACACAATGTGAAATACGATTTGGATGTCCACGAAACTCCATGACGACCATCCAGATCCTGGGGGCAGCTTCAATCCCATTAGGCAACCATAGGGCTGTGCATAGAACAGAATTTCTCAACCTCTGCAGACAGTGGGGTTGGGCTTTCCTGTGCATCATAGGATTTTAGCACCAGCCCTGGCCTCTATCTTCCAGACGCCGATGGCACCCACAACCCCGCCTCCAACTGTGATAACCTAAAATGTCTCCAGACATTGCCAGGTGTCCCTAGGGGATGCAAAATCACCCATGCCTGGGAGCATTGTTGGAGTGATGGTATCAATGTGCTGAGACAGACCTGTGACCTGGGCTGGGTATATGTCTGAATCTGATCCAAAAATCTAGAAGCTGAATGAAGTTGGGAAGAAATAAGGGGGCCTCAGAAGCACCAGAAAAAAAGTAATTACACAAGTTAAATACTCGTAATCAGAATAGAGTGTGGTCCTGTCTGCCTGTGACAACACCTCAGAGTCTTCCTGTGGGCACCCCCTTGCAGCTCATGTGCTGGGAAAGTCCTGGAAGCTTACACATGGGCAGGTTTTGGGGGGAGGTTTAGGGAAGGAGAGCAAACATGAGTTAGTCTGCAAAGTGGGCTCTGGTACCAGCAAGACATTCTCCAAATGAAGGCATCCTCATTCACAGGTTTCTTTGTCAACATAGAGAAAAAAGAGTCTCTTCTGCTCACTTAGGGTCGCACCAGCCATGCGATCCTGATTCTACACGTGAGATGTTGAGCAGGACACAGTGTTCCTGAAACGTTCCCATGGTAACACTTGAGAGGAACAAGCTATTACCCTTCCTTATCTCTTTCAAAAAGCCACAGAACAGCTTTCCTCCAAAACAACTGTTGAGGACCAACTTCCCTTTTGCAGAAGTCTGAGATGACTAAAGAAACAGGGGCTTCCGGGAGTTCCTAAAATTAGATGTTCGTCAAGCTGTACAAAGTTTCAGTTAGTGCAAAATGGGTGAGTTCCGGGGACGTAACCTCACCAGTATGACAACAGTTAACAAAACTGCAAGGTATACTTGAAACTTGCTAAGAGACCTGATCTCCAGTGTTCTTGCCACAGAAAAAAGGAGAGAAAATGGTGACTATGTGAACTGAGAGGTATATTCACTAGCTTGTTTGCGGTGATGATTTCACAAGATAGGAGTATATCAAAATATTAAGTTGTGTACCTTCATATATACAGTTTCTTGACCACACCTCACTGGAGGTGAAAAATAGGAACAAAGTTCCCAGTGTTTAAACCTATTGAGGCCCTTTGTTCCCATGTATGTAGAAATGCAAGATTTCACCTTTCTTGTCATTTCTCTAGCCTCAAAAATACTTTCCCAGCGGACACCTATCGGAACTTCTGTGTTGTTTTTTGTGGTCATGAGACTCTCACGCATCTGACCCTTCAGGGAAATGACCAGAGTGATATGCTGCCCGTATTGTGTGAGATCCTGACACACCCACAGTGTAAGCTGCAATACCTCAGGTACACCCCATTATCTCTGAGAACCCCTCGCATGTGCACAGAGATGCCAGAAGACTGTAGAGCAACTCTGTATAAATTGGGGGGAAATCCCTTATTCTGGTTCGAAGCAGTGCTACTCCGGGCACGTGCCTCACAACAGAAAGTGGGCTGGGGTTTAGTTTCCACTTGTACTGATCACTGAACAACCTGGACAACCATCCGTAGTAGTCCAACAAAACACTCCAAAACTGGATACCATCGTCAATCAGAAAGAATATGTTTGTGGTTTGTTTCTCCGATGTCAAGGTTCAGAATACCAGACTCTGTCCAGATTCATCTGAAGGCAAGGATGCATTGACAGCACCAGGTTTTCCCTTTCTTGGCAGTCCTCTGGGTTGAGAGATCTCCCCTTGGGATGTTCTCCACCTGATTGCTCTGCTGGGGGTTTCCATTACTCATCCCGGGGTGCCCTTGATCCTCACTGGGCCACACCTGAGTCATAATAGGAACACAGTTCAAGGTGATCTGTTGGTCTCTGATTGTGGTTCTGCCTCTAACGTTACGATCTTGGGCTATTCAGCTAGGTCTTACCCCATCTGCAGGATGGGGAATGCGCATCTCCCAGGGATTCGAGGACTAAGACTGAGTCCAAGCACACACGTGCTCACTGTTACATTATTGATAATAGCTGTTGCCAAATTGACCATTGATAATGACGTTCCCTTCTCTTTCCTGTGAGGATTCACCAGGAAAAGAAAGTGTGCAGTTTGAAGACTTGGGGTATTAACTTGCTTCTTGAGGAATAAATGGATGGGGATTCCAGAAAAAATTGTTTCATTGCCTGGAGCGCTGGGTGTGGTGCATCAACAATGAATCTTGGAACACTGAAAAAATTAAATTTTAAAAAATTGTTTTACTTTATGGGAAGCCATTCAACAATCTACTTTGGGGAAAAAAAATTCCAATGCCCAGGTTAACTTCGGTTCCTCTATTATAGGTTAGGCTCTAAGAAAAGTAAGTGTTTTGTTGACTTTTACTTACGTTTAGTTATAGGGTACACAGCGCACTTCACACTTCAGGCGAATTATCAACTTTAACGAACTCTCAGCATGAGGGTATGACTTATTTCCAATTTAAAGATGGAAATGAGGTTTGATGAAGTTACGTAACTTGGCCACATTTGCATGTACAGTAAATGGCAGATCTGGGATGTTTTACTATTTTTTTAGAAACCCCACTCCAAAGACCATGATACACATAATGTCCCAACGGAATTCCATTCTCCATGGTAAGAACGCTCTCTCCGGATAGAGTGTGGGTCCCTTGCTGGCTGAAATGCTTGGCTGACCGGATGTCTAGAGTAGTTCTCCACATGTGGTCTCCACGCTAGTGGCAGCTGTATGGCTTAGGAACCTGTTAAAACCCAAATTCTCGGGTCTGACTCAGATCCTCTGAACCATCGTCTGAGGGTGTGGCCCAGGAGTCTTCTGGGTGATATAGGACACCCCAAAACCGAAGCCGGTGGATTCTGCACCCAGAGTTTCTGATTTGCATTTCTGACTGCCCACCAGGTGATGCAGATGCCGCTGGCCCGGGGACCACACTCCGCATCCTCTAGTCCAGGACCTGACATAATGGGGAACGAGGGGCGGGAGTGGCGACCGTCCTCCAGTGTTTGGTTCTTAAGAATGACCTGTTCCCATTCCTCTGGCAGGTTGGTGTCTTGTTCGGTCACCCCCCAGCAGTGGGCCCATCTCTCCTGCTCCCTCAGGATCAGCCAGTCCCTCACGTGCCTAAACCTCACAGGAATTGAGCTCCGGGAAGAGAGCGCCAAGTTGTTGTGCACGAGTCTGAGACACCCAAAGTGCTTCCTGCAGAGGCTGTCGTGAGTACGGTCTCTTCCCATGGAGCATCTCCATTTTAGGTCTGTGGCCACCTAGAGAAGAACAATGGTAGTACTGGGTGTACAGGGCCACCCATAGGGGACCTCCTCCTGAGGCGGACACCCAGTTCCCACTTCAGGTCCCAGGCAGGTGGCTCATGCATCCCATCCTTCTCTCACTCCTGGTCCTTCATGACTGAGCCTCAAACACATGGTGAGAGAAGGGTGGTCATGAGAAGGCCGGTAGCTGGGGACTTGAGGCTTTGGGGACAGCCAAGAAAATGGGACTTCGGAAATATCCTCCCCCTCTGACTGTTCATGTGACACTTTGGCAGGCTGGAAGACTGTCACCTTACAAAAGCATGTTGCAAGGAGCTGTCCTCTGCCTTGATCGTCAACCAGAGGCTGACGCACCTGTGCTTGGCCAAGAATGCCCTGGGAGACGGTGGGGTAAAGCTGCTGTGTGAAGGCTTGAGTTACCCGGACTGCCAGCTGCAGGGGCTGGTGTAAGTCCGTGCTGTGTGTGCGCGCTTGCATGCTGGATTCAAAGAGTGCAGGTGCAGGCATTTAATAGTCCCTCTGAGTGGCCCAGGTACGATGCTGGCAGTCCGATCTGGTGGACCTGACAAGAGGGTGTTAGGAAAAAAGTATAAGATGTAGAGTCAGTATTCCATAGGGATTTGGGGGAGGTGACTGGTTTCCAGGTATGGGGTTTTTTTAATGCACTTTTTAAAGATTTTATTTATTTGTCTGAGAGGGTGCTTCCCAAGCGTGGGGAGTGGCAGGCAGAGGGGGAAGCAGGCTCCCTGCTCAGTGAGGAGCCCGATGCAGGACTTGATCCCAGGACTCTAGGATCATGACCTGAGCCGAAGGCAGATGCTTAACCCACTGAGCCCCAGGCGCCCCTTAGGCCTGTTTTTAGGACCACGTAACATAAACTCCACCCGCAGCTGACGGTACGTGGACTTACTGGCCAACTAGCTCGTTAAAATCCTCTTGTTAACACTGAAGTCACAGGCCAGGTTTTGAGAAAGGAACGGAGCTGCAGCGACTATTTCTACTCAGATTCTATTCAGTGTCGGTATCTCCAGTGATCTTGCCGTCGGCAAGATCGCCTCAGACGGCAGCTGGCAGCATTTCCTATAAACTAGTTTTGATCTAGGATGTGCCTTAAGACACCCAGTATCCAAAAACTACTCAGTCACTCAAAGTTCTGTGGAGCATTCAGCTCGTGGTTGGAGAGAGGTGGAAGGAGGGGCTTTTACTCCCACTGTCTCAGCCCCCAAACACTGAAATAACATAAATTTCCATAAGAAATAAGATGCTGGGGCGCCTGGGGGGCTCCGTGGGTTAAGTCTCTGCCTTCGGCTCAGGTCATGATCTCAGGGTCCTGGAATCGAGCCCCGCATCGGGCTCTCTGCTCAGCGGCGAGCCTGCTTCCCCCTCTCTCTGCCTGCCTCTCTGCCTACTTGTGCAATCTTTCCATCTCTCTGTCAAATAAATAAATTGAATCTTTAAGAAAAAAAAAAGATGCCACCCACGCACTAGCTCTGTCTTCAAGTTATGTTACATGTAATTACCCTCAAATCATCTAAACAGAAATATAAGTCATGGTCAACATTTATCAGGCTCCTGAATTAATTAATATGTGCTGGACGCTTTGCCAAGGTCTTGCCAGAGATTTCTTTCATTTGCCCCCGAGCCTTCTGAAATCAGTGCCTGTCTGTCCAGTCTGCAGTGAGAAAGCTAAGACGTGGGCATTAAATGTCATCGTATTTGCACCCTGTGGAGGTAGGAGCTACAGGTCAAGACCTCTTCTTTCTGGAGCTCAGCTCTGTTTTGTGAGCTGTGTTCCCACTTCACTAAGTTGCCAGAACTTGCTTGGGCCTTCCTCTGTTACCCCATAGTTCTGGGAGTTTCTATAAATGTACAAATGTCCAAGCCAAAGGGCTGTATCACGGCTTATCTCAAAGGCTGCCTGTGGGCCCACATCCCTGGATATATCACATCACTGTTTTTCCCCGGGCTCTGGCCACGTGACAGGGGGCCCTTGTGGGAGCCAAGGCTGATACCATCGCTTAGTTAGGTTCACTGAAACAAAAAGGCAGCCAAGTTGGTGTCCTGTTACTGCTATAACAAATCACCACCAGCTTATCAGCTCAACACTGTTTGCGTCCTTCCATAGGCCAGGAGACCAGTATGCACAAGGCTGTGTTCCTTTCTGTGTTCCTTCCTCATTCAGGCTGTTGGCAGAATCTGCTTCTTTGTGGCTCTGGGACAGGGGGTCCTGCAAATGGAGAGCTGGCCTCATCCCCTAAAGGCCACCGTGCTCCTTGGTTCATGGCCCTTTCCTCCACCTTCAAAGCCAGCTGTGGGGGGTCAAGCCCACACATTGAGCCTCTCTGCACTTCAGTGAGGAAGGACTCCTAGGATTAGACTCAGCCCCTCTCTGCAGTCCAGGATAACTCACCAGGCAAGACCCTTGGTCTCAGTCTCGCCTGCCATGTAACACGTGGGGATTAGAGCACAGACATCTCAGAGGGACATTATTCTGTCTAGGAAAGTAGCCAGTGATAATTCCAGCCATCTCTGGTTTTCTGCTATAGTAATAGTAAACCAGGGAAAGGAAAAAAAAAATGTTTTAATGGTTAAGAAGTCGTGCTGCTATCTTGTATAGCTGACTCGTGGATATCCAGGCTCTAGGGCCAGACTTGTCCCAAGGAGAACTGGTGCCCTCCACTTCTACATATGGCCTATCTAGTAACTGGATTTGGGACGTAGAATTGGTCCCTTCCACTAACAGAATTTGCAAGTCAAGGCAAGATGGATATTCTCTGTCCCATAGTTACAGTAGAAATGATAAATACCACTTAGTTTCCTAACTCTTTCTGTAACCAATTGTCTTAAGGTTAAGGCTTAAAACAATGTAACTTCATTGTCTTAAAGTTCTGGAGGCCAGGAGTCCAAAATGGGTTTCCCTGAGCTAGAATCAAGGTGTCCACAGGGCTGTGTTCCTTCTAAGATCTCCAGGGAAGAATCTGCTTCCCGGCTTTGTCCAGCTTCTAGAGGTGGCTGCATCCCTTGGCTCATGGCTCCTTCCCCAATGCCCAAAACCAGCAACATCGTGTCTTCAGTGTCCTTCTGTCTGTCTCATCACCTCTCCCCAGGCTGACTTTAACTTTCCTGCCCCTTCTTGTAAGGATCCTTGTGATTACATTGGCTCACCCAGATAACCTCCCCACCTCCGATCCTTAACCCCCCCTCCCTATCACACACAACATCAAACACTCACACGGACCAAGGATCAGGGTGTAGACAGCTGTGGGTGCGTGGAGTGGAGGTGGGTGACTGAGGCCCATATAATCACTTATGTAGCAATTCTAATTCCACCCATGATTTCATCTCCACGTCTCATTGTCTGCAAGCTTGCCTGAAACCTGTGGCTTGAAGTCAACGAGCCTGGTTTGGGTACATCTCCTCAGGGAGGACTCAAGTTTATTTTCTCTTCATGTGATTGATTTCTAGGCTTTGGTACTGTAGCATAACCAGCAGTGGCTGCAATTATCTGTCAACACTTCTCCAGCAGAATTCAAGCCTTACACACTTGGATCTGGGCCTGAATCACATAGGATTTACTGGACTCAAGTTTCTGTGTGAGGCTTTGAAGAAGCCAACCTGTAACCTCAAATGTCTATGGTAAGTTATGTTTATTTTTAACTTTAATCTGTCTCTAAAATATATTAGTGTAGCAAATCTGCAGCTCAAATACAGACTAGAACAAATCCGGTTGAGTATTTTGAAAATCCAATAGGATAGTAATTTTCACATTTTTTTAAATCCCCAAATTTGTAGACAACCACAAAAGACTCCAAACAGCTAAATCAATTCTGACCAAGAACGAAGTGGAGGCATCACACACTTTCTGATTTCAAACTGTATTATGAAACCATAGTATCAAAAGAGCATGGTCCTGGCCTAAGAACAGATACATAAACTGAAAGAACAGAACAGAGAGCCCAGAAATAAACCGCCCCCACACACACACAGTCAACTAGTCTTTGACAAGGGCACCGAGAATACTCAATGGAGAAGGGATAATCTCTTTAATAAATAGGGTTGAAAAAAGCTGGACATCCACATGCAAAAGAATGAAATTGAGCCCTTACACCATCCACAAAAATTAACTCAGAATGGATTAAAGACTTAAAAACCTAATACTTTCAAATTCCTAAAAGAAAACATAGGATATAAGCTCTTTCGCATTCATCTTGGCAATGATTTTTTTGGATATGATGCCTAAAGCAAAAATAAATAATTGGGACTTCATCAAATTAAAAATCTTCTGTCTACTAAAGGAAACAATCAACAAAATGAAAAGACAGAAAAATATTTGGAAAACATAGGTCTGATAAGGGGTTAATATCTAAAATAGAAAAGGAACTTATACAATGCAATAGCAAAAAAATAAATAAATAAAAATGATGAGCAAAGGACATGAAGAGACTTTTTTCCCAAATCAGACCAACAAATGGCCAACAGGGACATGAAAAATAGTTCAGCATCGCTAATCATTGGGGAAATGGAAATTGAAACCACGTGAGCTCTCACTTGATACCTTTCAGGACGGCTATTAGTAAAAAGAACAGAGATAACAAGCAGTGGGGAGGACACGGAGAATAGGGAATCCTCGTGTACCCGCTGGTGGGAACGAAAGCCAGCGTGGCCACTCTGGAAGCTGTATGGAGCTTCTAAAGCTAAAAATAGAAGTATCCTATGATCCAGCAATCCCTCTTCTGGATATGTACCCAAAGGAAATGAAACGAGATCTCAAACAGATATCCACGTTCTCATGTTTATTGCAGCATTTTTCACAATGGCCAAGAGAGGAAACAATGTAAGTTGTCACCAACAGATGATGGGATAAAGAAGATGTGAGAGGGCGCCTGGGTGGCTCAGTGGGTTAAGCCTCTGCCTTCGGCTCAGGTCATGATCTCAGGGTCCTGGGATGGAGTCCCGCATCGGGCTCTCAGCTCAGCAGGGAGCCTGCTTCCCTCTCTCTCTCTCTGCCTGCCTCTCTGCCTACTTGTGATCTATCTCTGTCAAATAAACAAATAAAATCTTTAAAAAAAAGAAGATGTGAGATATATACATATACATACAATGTAATATTAGCCATGAGAAGGAAGGAAATCCTGCCATTTGAGATAGCATGGATGAAACTTGAGGGTATCATGCTAAGAAGGAAAAGGCAAAGACAAGTACTGTATGACACCACTTCTGTGTGGACTCGTGAAGAGCTGAGCTCATAGAGGTAGAGTAGCGTGGTGGTTATCAGGGGTCAAAGGGAAGGAGGAAATGGGGTGGGGGGTTCAAAGGATGAAGACTTGCAGTTAGAAGATGAACGTGTTCTGGAGACCTAACACATAGCGTGGAGATTATACCTAATAATACTGTGTTCTATGCTTGAAAGTTGCTAAAAGAACAGATTTTTTTTTCTTTCCAGTGTCATTAACACAGTATTAGTTTTAGTTACACAATATAGAGATTCAACGCTTCCACACAACATCCAAGGCTCATCAGGACAGGTGCCCTCCTTCCTTCCCCCACCCACCTCCCCTTTGCTGACCATTGGTTTGTTCCCTTGTAGTTAAGAGTCTGTTTATAAAAATAGATCTTAAATTTCCTTACCAAAAGAAGAAATTATGTTGGGATGGAGGTGTTAACTAACACTACAGAGGCCATCATCTGGCAAGACATAAATGTACCAAATCAGCACATTTCACACCTTAAACTTACACAATGGTTTATGTCCATTATATCTCCATAAAGATTAAAGAAAGTCTCCAGAAACTTCTACTTTTCAGCAATAAAACATTGCTCTCAGTAAACAAGTTGTCCTCACACAAAAAATGGTGACTCTGAGCTGACAGGTATGTTAATTAGCTTGATGTGGGGATCATTTCAGTGTGTACATATATTAAATCGTTATACTGTACACCTTAAATGCATACAATTTTTATTTGTCAGGTATATGTCAGAGAAGCTGGGGGAGAAAATTCACTGGAACGGTTAAAGGAAGAGTTTCTAGTCTAGGTCATCCAAAGGCCACCTGTGGACCATGTTAAGGATGCAACACTTATGGCATCAAGGACTGGCTGCCCCAACACCCAGCCTCCCCAGGGTAGGAACTCGATACTGCAGCAAATGTCCCGTCCGTGAGCAGATAAATGGCTTCCCCTCAGTTCTGTCTCACAATCCTACTTAGGTGACTTAGGTACCATCACTCAGATACACTCGAATCTGGAAACTGACCTGTGAGGGACTCCCAAAGGGTAGCAGTTTTCTGGCCTCCACAGCACCACAAGGCAAGGTGAGTCCTGGCGTCCAACCTCTGCCACATAATTGAAATGTTTGTGCCTTTGAGAATCCCAACACCCAGGCTGTACCTCAGACCTGTCCAGTCGGGATCTCCACAAGTAAAACCTCTGGTTGTTACAATTTGGGGCAGGTGCCCCCGAGGAGGGCAGTGATGCTAGTGATGACTGGGAGGGGCCTCTCTTAATCATTCGTCCTACTGGTATAGGGGTATAGGGAAGTGTCCGGTGAGCCTTGACTTCTGGATGGTGTAAGCACAGTTATGTGTTCTAGGAAATGGAGTTGGATGCATCAACTGTTGGCTATGATAATGAAATATGTTTGCATGTTATTCGGTGTGCCAGGAAGAAGGTGTTAGATTTAACCTCTTCAAAATCCTGGGGAGGGCTTAAACACATGACCTATTCTCATGTGTGTGTGCATGCGCACACTCATATATACACAAATCCTTGAACATTTGTGCAACATTATTTGCTCAGAACAAAATCCTTTATTCTTTTTTTCTTTCAAATACCAAACCCAAACCTTTTTAAATTCCTGCTGCCATCTTCTAGAAATCTAGAATCTGATCTCCTACCCCCTCTACATCCTGGTAATATCTAGATGGTTGTAAAGCCTTCCACCTAGTCTGTATTCTGCCTTCTGTGTTCCCCTACAGTTTTCAACCAGGTACTAGGAATAACCTCTAAGGTGTAGCCCCTGTCCTGTTTCTGCTCAAAACCCTCAGTGGTTCCCCATCTCATTCCAAGTAAAACCTACAATTTACAAGGGCCTAAGGACTTTCTGTGAGATGGCTCCCTCTTGTCTGTGACCTCCTCTCTTTCAGCTCTCCCTGGCTCACTCTCAGGCTGGCTACCTTGACATTGTTTTTACATAATAATCTGACACAACCTCAGGGCCTTTGCACAAGCTATTTATCTGCCTGGGGAGCTCCTACTCCGGGTCTCTCTATGGTTCATTCTCTTCAACACTCCGGTCTTCCTCAACTGTTGTAGTGAGTGCCCCCCAGCTTCTCCCTTTGCTCTTCATAACCTTGTTGGATATGACACACTACATTCATCTGTTTCCTATTAGTACATGAGCTCAGAGGAAGGAGACTTCTGTTGTTCCTTGTTGCATCTGCAACACCCAAGAGTGTGTCTGTCACATAGGACGGTATCCGTACACATCGGTTGAATCAACTAATTTTGTGTCTCCCCTATAGGTTGTGGGGATGTGCCATTACCCCTTTCTGCTCTGGAGTCCTCTCCTCTGCCCTTGGCAGCAATCAGAGCCTGGTCACTCTGGACCTGGGCCAGAATTCCTTGGGGTATAGCGGAGTAAAGATGCTGTGTGACACCTTGAAACTTCAGCGTTGCTCCCTACGGACACTCAGGTATGATTCTCCTGCTGCTCACGGTGTTTCCTCCAGGATGGTAGGTTTGTAGGGGGGCACAAACCACGGGAGTTTGTTGTAGGCAACTACAGCTAACATCTCGTTTTCATCCGTTGATGTTTGGTCACCTGATAATTCTCCTGTCGGTCCCTTCTGTTGCTTTGGCCAGTAAAACGAGTCAAAGGACGAGACCCAAACCCAGTCGGAAGCCAAGAAGCTGAACTGGGGGCTTCTCTAAGTGACAGAGAGTGATGGTGGCTGGCCATTGTCATGTTAGAAATACCAAGCTGTAGCTGTCCTGCAGTATTCTGAAAAAGCTTGTGCTGGGACCATGTTGGTTACAGAGGTCTGGCAGTCAGTCCACCTTAGAAGCTTGTTCTCTGGAGTGAGTCTGCTTTGGAATAAAAGGAGTCCGTGTCCTCTGTTGGTCATCAAAGCAAGCTGCCCCTGAGCTGTGTTGTCTGCTTCTACCATGGGAACAGAGAACCCTACAACTCTCCTTCGTCTTGCACAAACTTGTTTAAATTCTCAGATGCCATGTAGACAACCGGTGGCTTGAAATTATAATTATGTAGAAGAAACAGATTATATGTATATGCAACAGGGTAGCTTGCTATCAAAAGAAATCTGTAGACTCAAGTTTGTTTGTTTTTAGCCCCATTCTGGTGAGCTAGCCCTGTCACTTCCACATCAGTAAGTTTTAATCAAGCTGTAAAGACCTCACAGAGATAACACAGGAGCTGTTTCTTTAGATATTCTTCCTTGAGTCCTTGAATCTCAAGACGAGTGATCAGGAGTGGGGGGCTTCTTCCTGAATCACAGATCCTGGACCCGCTTGGAGAACCGGAGTCAGACTGTGGTTTTTAGTTCTTTGATTTTATCAGCTACCCTTCTGAGATGCTCTTTTAAGTTAACCAGAGTTATTTTCTCTTGCTTGGTGACCAAGAGCCCTGCCATCACACACCGTTCATAGAGTAGCACATTTGTATGTGCGGGTGTGGCTTGCGCCATTTCTTATTTTTTTCTTCCTTTTTTTAAAAAAATTTTTATTTTTTTAAATTTTTTATTTCTTTTCAGCGTAATAGTATTCATTGTTTTTGCACCACACCCAGTGCTCCATGCAATCCGTGCCCTCTCTAATACCCACCACCTGGTCCCCCTAACCTCCCATCCCCCGCCCCTTCAAAACCCTCAGATTGTTTTTCAGAGTCCATAGTCTCTCATGGTTCACCTCCCCTTCCAATTTCCCCCAACTCCCTTCTCCTCTCTAACTCCCCTTGTCCTCCATGTTATTTGTTATGCTCCACAAATAAGTGAAACCATATGATAATTGACTCTCTCTGCTTGACTTACTTCACTCAGCATAATCTCTTCCAGTCCTCTCCGTGTTGCTACAAAAGTTGGGTATTCATCCTTTCTGATAGAGGCATAATACTCCATAGTGTATATGGACCACATCTTCCTTATCCATTCATCCGTTGAAGGGCATCTTGGTTCTGTCCACAGTTTGGCAACCGTGGCCATTGCTGCTATAAACATTGGGGTACAGATGGCCCTTCTTTTCACTACATCTGTATCTTTGGGGTCAATACCCAGTAGTGCAATGGCAGGGTCATAGGGAAGTTCTATTTTTAATTTCTTGAGGAATCTCCACACTGTTCTCCAAAGAGGCTGCACCAACTTGCATTCCCACCAACAGTGTAAGAGGGTTGCCCTTTCTCCACATCCCCTCCAACACATGTTGTTTCCTGTCTTGCTAATTTTGGCCATTCTAACTGGTGTAAGGTGGTATCTCAATGTGGTTTTAATTTGAATCTCCCTGATGGCTTTTTAAATTTCTTTTCAATGTTCCAGAATTCATTGTTTATGTGCCACACCAATGCTCCATGCCATCTGTGCCCTCCTTAATACCCACCACCAGGCTCACCCATCCCACACCCCCTCCCCCCAAAACCCTCAGTTTGTTTCTCAGAATCCACAGTCTCTCATGGTTCATCTCCCCCTCCAATTTCCCCCAACTCCCTTCACCTCTCCATCTCCCCAATCCTCCATGTTATTCCTTATGCTCCACAAGTAAGTGAAACCATATGATAGTTGATTCTGTCTGCTTGACTTATTTCACTCAGCATAATCTCCTCCAGTCCCGTCCATGTTGATACAAAAGTTGGGTATTCATCCTTTCTGACGGAAGCATAATATTCCATAGTATGTATGGACCACATCTTCCTTATCCATTCGTCTGTTGAAGAGCTTCTTGGTTCTTTCCATGGTTTGGTGACTGGGCTCACACTGTTTCTGCTTCCTTCATCACTTGTGCAGACACTGCTTGACTATGGGAACGAATTCCATGCTTCCAGTGCAGACCATGACCAACCTCCAACAATCATGAATACACAATTATGTTTGACCTTGGAAGGTCATGCTGAAAACATTTTGAAGCTCCTTGGCCCTTACTAAAAGCAAAGTTATTTTGACTGTGCTTTTAATGTATGTGAACATTGTGACATGATCACCATAATCGAGCTAATTAACACATCCATCACCTCATATAGTTGCCCTTTGTGTACGTGTGTGTGGAAAGAACACAAGGTCTACTGTCCTAGCAAATTTCAGGTATATGGCACAAAATTATTGTCACCGTGCTGTACATGACACCTCCAAACTCATAGCTGAAGGCTTATTGCATGGATGTACTGTGAACCTTAAACAGCAAAGAAAATTACTAATATGCTAGAAAAACCAGGGGCACCTGATTCGCTCCAACAGTAGAGTGTGACCCTTGATCTCAAGGTCATGAGTTCTAACCCCATATTGGGTGCAGAGATTATTTTTTTTTTTTTAGTTTTCTTAACTCTGCTTTTTTATTGCATTATGTTAGTCACCGTACAGTACACCATTAGTTTTTTTTAATCATTTTTAAATTTATTTCAGCATAACAGTATTCATTGTTTTTGTACCACACCCAGTACTCCATGCAGTCCGTGCCCTCTCTAATACCCACCACCTGGTTCCCCCAACCTCCCACCCCCCAACCTCTTCAAACCCTTCAGATTGTTTTTCAGAGTCCATAGTCTCTCATGGTTCACCTCCCCTTCCAATTTCCCCCAACTCCCTTCTCCTCTCTAACTCCCCTTGTCCTCCATGCTATTTGTTATGCTCCACAAATAAGTGAAACCATATAATTGACTCTCTGCTTGACTTATTTCACTCAGCATAATCTCTTCCAGTCCCGTCCATGTTGCTACAAAAGTTGGGTATTCATCCTTTCTGATGGAGGCATAATACTCCATAGTGTATATGGACCACATCTTCTTTATCCATTCGTCTGTTGAAGGGCATCTTGGTTCTTTCCACAGTTTGGCAACCGTGGCCATTGCTGCTATAAACATTGGGGTACAGATGGCCCTTCTTTTCACTACATCTGTATCTTTGGGGTCAATACCCAGTAGTGCAATGGCAGGGTCATAGGGAAGTTCTATTTTTAATTTCTTGAGGAATCTCCACACTGTTCTCCAAAGAGGCTGCACCAACTTGCATTCCCACCAACAGTGTAAGAGGGTTGCCCTTTCTCCACATCCCCTCCAACACATGTTGTTTCCTGTCTTGCTAATTTTGGCCATTCTAACTGGTGTAAGGTGGTATCTCAATGTGGTTTTAATTTGAATCTCCCTGATGGCTAGTGATGATGAACATTTTTTCATATGTCTGATAGCCATTTGTATGTCTTCATTGGAGAAGTATCTGTTCATGTCTTCTGTCCATTTTTTTATATGATTGTCTGTTTTGTGTGTGTTGAGTTTGAGGAGTTCTTTATAGATCCTGGATATCAATCTTTTGTCTGTAGTGTCATTTGGAAATATCTTCTCCCATTCCGTGGGTTGCTTCTTTGTTTTGTTGACTGTTTCCTTTGCTGTGCAGAAGCTTTTGATTTTGATGAAGTCCCAAAAGTTTATTTTGGCTTTTGTTTCCTTTGCCTTTGGAGACCTATCTTGAAAGAAGTTGCTGTGGCTGATATCGAAGAGATTACTGCCTATGTTCTCCTCTAGGATTCTGATGGATTCCTGTCTCACGTTGAGGTCTTTTATCCATTTTGAGTTTATCTTTGTGTACGGTGTAAGACAATGGTCGAGTTTCATTCTTCTACGTATAGCTGCCCAGTTTTCCCAGCACCATTTATTGAAGAGACCGTCTTTTTTCAACTGGATATTTTTTCCTGTTTTGTCGAAGATTAACTGACCATACAGTTGAGGGTCCATATCTGGGCTCACTACTCTGTTCCACTGGTCTATGTGTCTGTTTTTATGCCAGTACCATGCTGTCTTGGGGATCACAGCTTTGTAGTAAAGCTTGAAATCAGGTAACGTGATGCCCCCAGTTTTATTTTTGTTTTTCAACATTTCCTTAGCGATTTGGGGTCTCTTCTGGTTCCATACAAATTTTTGGATTATTTCCTCCAGCTCTTTGAAGAATTCCAGTGGAATTTTGATTGGAATGGCATTAAAAGTATAGATTGCTCTAGGCAGTATAGACATTTTAACAATGTTTATTCTTCCGATCCAAGAGCATGGAATGGTCTTCCATCTTTTTGTGTCTTCAATTTCTTTCATGAGTCTTCTGTAGTTCCTCGAGTACAGATCCTTTACCTCTTTGGTTAGGTTTATTCCCAGGTATCTTATGGTTCTTGGTGCTATAGTAAATGGAATCGATTCTCTAATTTCCCTTTTTGTATTTTCATTGTTAGTGTATAAGAAAGCCACTGATTTCTGTACATTGACTTTGTATCCTGCCACGTTACTGACTTGCTGTATGAGTTCTAGTAGTTTGGGGGTGGAGTCTTTTGGGTTTTCCATATAAAGAATCATGTCATCTGTGAAGAGAGAGAGTTTGACTTCTTCATTGCCAATTTGGATACCTTTT